CCTTGTTCTTAGACAGGCACAATGAATATTGTCAAGATGGCTGTATTTCAAAAACTGAGATATTTAACACAATCCCAGACAAAATACCAAGAGCATTCCTCACAGATCTAGAGAAAATAATTCTAAAATTCATATGGAACCAAAAAAGACCCAGAATAACAAAAGCAAAAATATGTAAAAAGAGAAAATCAGGAGGTATCATAATCCCAGATTTTAAGTTATATTTCAAAGCTATGATTATAAAAACAGCATGGTATGGGCAGAAAAACTGACATGTGAATCAATGGAACAGGCAAGAGGAAGCAGAAATAACTCCAGGTATCTTCAGCTATTTGGTTTTTGACAAAAGGGCCAAAAACACACACTGGAGGAAAGATAACCTCTTTAATAAAAAGTGCTAGAAAAATTAGCTATTTATATGGAGAAGATTGAATTTAAACCCATATATCTCACCATGTAGTAAATTAAAGTCAAAATGGATCAAGGATCTAAATTTTAAAACAGTTTACTGGAAGATAAATTAGATAAATTTCTTGAAGACATGTAAAGGACTTTCGAAACAGAATCCCAATGGCACAAGAAACAGTACTGAGAATCAACAAATGAGAGCATTTCAAATTAAAAAGCTTCTTTATAGAAAAGGAAACAACTGATAGAGTGAAGAGACAACCTACAGAATGAGAAAAATTTTGTCACCTATTCCTTGGACAGAGGACCAATATCTAGAATGTACAAAGAACTCAAAAGAATTAGAGACCTGAAAATAAAAGACCCAATCAAAAACTGGGCAACTGCAATGAATAACACTTCTCAGAAGAGGTACAAATAAGGAGTAAATAAATGAAAAAATGTTCAACATTGCTTGCCATTAGAGAAATATAAATTAAAACAACACTGGAATTCCATCTTCTTCCAGAAACGATGGCTATCATGAAGAAATCAAATAATAACACATGCTGGTGATAATAACAATGCCCTTTTATATTGTTTGTGGGAATGTAAACTAGTATAACCACTATGGAAATCAGTATGGAGAATCCTCAAAAAACTAAAGCTAGAAATTCCTTTTGACCTACCTATTCCTATTCTGGGTATCTTCCCAAAAGACTTAAAGACATCAAATTAGAGTGATGCAAGCATACCCAAGTTTATAGCAGCACAATTCATAATACCGAAATCCTGGAAATGGCCTATATGCCCATCAACAGATGAATGGCTAAAGGAAATGTGGCACTGTATTTATACACAATGGAATACTGTTCTGCCATAAAGAAGGATAAACTTGAATCATTGGTAGGTAAATGGATGCACCTCCAGATCATGATATTAAGTAAAATAAATTAAACACACAAGCTAAAATGTCACATGGTTTCTCTTATATGAGAAACTCAAAATATAAATAAAGATCAAAATAAAAGGTAGGTAATAGGAATAGGGAGATTTTTCTTCAAATGAGAAGGGGGTCAAGAGGTGGAGAGAGGGGAGGGAAAGTGGATGGAAAAAGAATTCAGATCTAGTATGTCTATGTACCACCCCCCCCACAATAAATGCAATCATTATGTAATGTACACATGTACTAAGAAAAATAAAAACTTTTTTTAAAAAAAGATCCTTTAAAAGTAAAGGAGAAATAAAGATTTTCTCAGAAAAGCAAATTTTAGAGAGTTTGTTGCCAGTACAGCTGCCTTGAAAGAAATATTCAAAGGGGTCCTTCAGAGAGAAGGAAAATTATCTGCAGATCTACACAAAAAAGTTAAGAGCATTGTAATAGGTAAAATAAAAATGTTTACCTTTTAAAAATTGATTTAGCAGATGATAATTTGTTCAAAATAATAGTAGCACCCATGTACACTGGTACCTCAGTTCATGAACTTAATTTCTTCTAAGATTTTGGAAAAGATGGCCACATTTGTGTTTATGTGGGAAAGATGGTTGCAGTCATGTTTGTTACCCAATGCAGAATTCGCAAACAAAAACTAAATTTTCCCAAACTCTTCTGTTTGCTAATCAAATTGTTCACAAACAAAAGTGTTCATGAACTGATGTCCGATTGTGTATTTGATGATCACAGCATATGTAGAGGTGAAATTAACTCAAAGGACAGGAGGGAGGAATTATGAATATTTTGCTATTATAAGTTACTTGCCTCATCTGTGAACCAATACAGTGTTATTTGAAAGTGGACTTGATTTAGTTGAAAGTGTATATTCAAATGCTATGGTAAACATTTAAAAATGTAAAAAGATGTATAATTGGCATGCAAAAAATGAGAGAAAATAGAATCATAAAATTCTCAACTACAATCACAAGAGGCAGAAAAGAATAAAAGTAAAAATGGGAAAACTAAAAATTGAGCAAATAGAAAATTATAACAAATGTAGCAGATATCAATCCAACTATATCAATGACCACTTTAAACATAATAATCCAAATACACTAATTTATAAACAATGATTATCAGATTGAATCAAAGAGCAAAACCCAACTTCAAGCAATCCACCATAAATAGGACATGTAATTAAAAATAATGATATAGGGAAAGACATCATGCTAGCACTAATAAGAAAACTAGAGTAGCTATATTAATTTCAGACAGAGCAGACCAGAAAAAGAAAAATTATCAGGAAGAAAGAGCGAAATTACACAATTAGACAAAGGTAAATTTTTCCAAGAAGACATAAAAATCCTTAAGATGTATGCACCTAACATCAGACAGTCAAAATGTGTGAGGAAAAATTGGATAGACTACAAGGAAGATGACTGAATCCACTAATATTAAGTCAGAGAATTCAACATCATCCATTTGAAATGGATAGATGCACCAGGAAGAAAATCAGTAAGGGCAGAGTTGAACACTATAGCACCAAAAATCAGCTGAAATGTAGCTTAAGATCTTGGTCTATCACTTAGACCATAGACTATATATAAAGCACACTTTATCAAATTTAAAAGAGATCATATAATGTATGTTCTCGGTCCACACTAAATTAAATTAGAAAAGATATCTGAAAGCACTTGACCTGTAGGAATAGAAAAGAACTGCCTTGAACTAATAAAGGACATGAAAAATCTACAGCTGAAATCATATTTAATGGTTAAATACTGGATGCTCCCTCCCCCCCCCAAAAAATCAAGAACAAATCAAGAATGCCCACTCTTGCCACTTGTGTTCAACATTGTCTTGGAGGTTCTCCCTAGAGAAAGGAAGCAAGAAAAAGAAATACAAAGCATTCAAACCAGAAAAGAAGTAAAATGATCATTCCTCACAAGATGAAAAGATCTTGCAAATAGAATATCCTCTGTAATTCTCTAAAAACTAATACACTAGCTGAGAAAAATGTTAAGATATAAGATTTATATAAAAATCAATTGTATTTCCATATATTTAGAATTACCAATATGAAAATGAAACAAGCAGCATTAAAAAAACTGCTTAGGAAATTTTTTAACAAAAGAAGTTAAAAAATTACATTCTGAAAATTACAAACATTGCTGAAGAAAATTAAAGATCTAAATAAATGGAAAAAGTATCCTAGGTTCATGGACAGGAAGTTGTAATGTTTCAAAGATGGCAATGTACTGAAAATTGATCCATGTATTCAATGGTGTCTTTATCAACATCCCAGCAAGTATCTTTGTAAGAATTAATAAATTGATTATAAAATTCATGTGGAACTGCAAATGTCTCAGAATAATCAAAACAATCTTGAAAAGGAAGAAGAAAGTTGGAAAACTCGTACTTCCTGATTTCAAACATACTACGAAGCAATAGTAATCAAGAGAGTGTGGTCCTGGCAGAAGGATAGATCTGGGTAAGTAATATAGATTTGAAAGTGAAGAATTAAATTTTCATGCTTGTTGTCAATTGATGTTCAACAAGGGTACCCACACAATTCAAGAAGGAAAGGATAGTTTTCAACAAATGGTGCTAGGGCATCTGAATACCCACATACCAAAAAAAGGGGAAGAGATGAAGTTAGACATCGTATTTCACACCGTATATAAAAATTAGCTCAAACTGGCCAAAAACTTAAATTTAAGAATTAAAATTATAAAACTGTTAGGGTTAGGGTTGGTAAATCTTATGGCCTTGGATTTAGCATTGGATTTCTACATTTTACTACAATAGCATAAGTAAAAACTAATAGAAATAGATAATTGAATTTCATAAAAATTCAAAACTTTTATGCTTCCTAAGACACTGTTAAGAAGGTGAAAAGACACCATACAGAGTGAGAGAAAGTATGTGTAAATTATACATCTCCTAAGGGGCTTTATCTCAAATATTTTAAAGATCTCTTAACTCAATAATTAAATGACAACCCAATCAAAAATTGGCAGTGTCTGGGTACACATTTTTCCAAAGATCTACAAATGGCTCTTGAAATGATGTTTGACATCATTAGTCATCAGAAACATAAATCAATATCACAAAAGATACCCCTCCACACTCTCAAGATGGCTAGAATCCAAAAGTCAAATAGTAAGAAGTAGTAAGAAGGATACAGACTGATTGGAACTCCCTTCCGCTGCTGATTTTCCACTTTGGGAAAAAGTCCAGTAGTTTTTCAGTGACCATACACACATGCAACTTGGCTTCTCAGTACACACCCAACAGAACTGAAAACACAAGTCAACACCAAACCTTTTACAATAACATGCCTGGCAGCATTATACACAGTATCCAAAATGTGGAAAGTTTTAAATGGATAAGCAAAGTATATTATATCCATATAATAGAATATTACTCAGCAATAAAAAGGGATGGTATCCTCATAAATGCTATAATATGAATGAATCTTGAAAAATATTAAATGAAGTGAAAGGCTATTCATAATATCATGACATTCCATTTATATGAAATGTCCAATGCAATAAAATTCTATAGAGACAGGAAGTATATTAGTACTGTCAGGAGCCAGTCTACATAAATTGTGGAGCAAAATCATTTCATAATTAAAGTGTGACTATAGCAGTCTAAGGTCCAGTTTTCTCCTTACCAGGAGCTGGCCATGCCATGCAGAAACACAACTCCGTTTTGCCTCCGGTCACAAGTTGAGTCCTCAGTGGTCCCATGATACTGTGATGCTCAAGGGCAAGAGTACATCAGCTGAAGACATCCTGGTTCTTTGAGAATGAGAACCTTGAGTAGTAATAAATAAAAGAGAAAGGTTTCACCTGGGGGAAGGACAGATTCTTTATTAGCCTGCTATCTCCTCCCACCTACTATTGTAAGAATGCTCTCCTTACCTCCCTCATCAACATAAGACCCTCAGAGACCTAAGATCCTCATCAGCATAAGATCTTCATGAACATAGGATTATCACTGCCCCCTGAGTCACCTGAGACTCCCTCCGATTATTGTGTGCACCCAATAAATAGTGGCCAGCTCAGAGTGTGTTTGTCTTTGCCTACTCCGAGGCACTGACCTCCCGGTCCCCCATGTAGCTTGAAATTACCCAAGTCTCTACTGTCTTTCTTTCTTTAGCCCTTGCCATGCCCCTTTCTAGGCAATTGGAGGATTGATCACCCTCTGATAAGTACAGTAATTACTTAGGGTTGGAGGGGTGAAATTGAAGCATGTGGGGAATGTTAGGTAAAGGGTTGAGACTTCCTTTGCAAGTTGATGAAAATGGCCTTATATTGACTGAAGTGATGATTACACATATCCACAAATATACAAAAATAACCCCACTGGACTGTATTTGCATACTTGCTATGCTAGAACCAAGCACAGGATGCTCTAAGAGCTGATGAGAGGGTTAAGAAAAGCTTTGTGGAGAAAGTGATGCTTGAAATACATCCTAAAATATAGATATAAATTGGCACATTGAAAAGAAAGATAGAGAATTGGAATGTAAAAGAACAAAGGAAGAAGGGTATTAACACCAGGAGAACAACATCGAAAAAGATTTGGGGGAAAGCAAAGCAGTGGAAGTCTGGACTTCTGAGTAAGGTATGAGTCTGAGTATAGCAGTGATGACGCATGAGTGTTTGGGAAAGACTTGCATAGGCACTGATGTGATGCACACAGACCTCACCATATACTCATAGCATAACACGTAACAGGATGCCACAAATACTGCCATGTGCTGGATCCTTACTTAACATTACAGTATGCATTAACCAGAAATCAGACTGTGGTAGCAATTCCTGTCGGAGAAATACTGAACCGGTCAGGTCATGCAACTGAGGCATAGAATTGGCTGGGGAACAAAAAGCACACACCCACTGAATTATGCAAACATTCCTAATCTGCCCATAGAAGGAGCTGGCCAGGCCAAACCAAAACAAACAAACAAAAAATACCCCTTTTCAAACAAGAACCGTGGTCCCCATATTTCAGAGACTGAATACAAGAAAGACTTGTTTCTTGCATACCTTAATCTGATATGGTTTCCTCTTGAAGCAACATCACCTGGAGTGAAGTGTCCTCCACAAAGAGAGGGGTAGAAGACATGCTGAGCTCCCAGCAGCCTTAATCCAGAAGTTCCACCTCTTATTTCTATTTCTAACCATTGGTCAGAACAAGTCTTGAGGCCCAATCTAGCCCAAAGGGGGCTGGGATGATACAGGAGCACGGGGAATATTTAGTGAGTACTAACTTTCTTCCTACACTTATCTAATGAGGGACATGAGGCTACAGGCTGGCAGAACTCAGCCTTGAATTGGCACTAAACCAGTAACTTTAGAATAATGGAGTGCAGACGTGATAGAAGAATCAGGATGATAAAAGGAAAGCTGTAAGCAAGAAAAGCCAAAGCAGCTGGCTGACAATTTCCGCTCTGAATATCCAGCTTAGGAATTATGTGGGCCACTGAATTCCTGTCTCCCAGTGAGCCTACTAGAGAATGATTGGTAAGATAAGTAGGTAATACTATAAAAGAATAGAGATTCTTTGAGTCAAGGATCTGGTGAAGGAGACAGAAACTCCTAACAAAATTAAAGAGTAAAGTAAGACAGACTTTCTGCAGGTGGGAAAGGGATGGGGTAAAGAGGGAAAGGGGATCAAAATGATCAAAATATATTTTATACATGCCCCAGTTCCCCAAGCAAATGCAAACACCATGTACTGCAAACTTACATGAAGAAAACAGGGACAAATGAAGGCAGAATTCATTCATCCTGACTCCTCTTCTTTTTCACTCTTGCAAATAACTGTGAGAAGTAAATGCACTGTATTCTGCTGTCTGTGCCTCCTTTCTGTCCCACAGTTCACTGGAGTTGTCCAGCTGCTTTTTCCTTCAAGGAGAGAATATAGAGCCAGAAGAGGCAGGGCATCTATATAGACTTAACATAAAAAATGTGTTGGATGCCCACGGTGACTATGAATACAGGTACAAGATGACTTTATTGAGGAAACCGGACCTTCCCATCCACAGCAGGACTCCCTGGGGTACTCCATTTGAGCATCCTCCTCTCCCCTTCAGAGTCTACAATACATCAAAACTGGCACTGATTATAGTGCTGGAGAGCCAGGCTGGGAAAGAAGAAAAATGAAAGTGCTACCGTTGCCAATTCCGCCTTCTTTTAGGCTGCCTCCATCTAATAATTCAGCAGCACCAAAAAATGGTCCTCAGGCCATCGGCTCTGCCCAGCCAGGGGCTAATAAAGCTTGATGGCAGCCAACAACTTATTTCCTATGGCTTCAATCAAACCCAACTGAACTGGGGTTTAGCTTCCTGGTCATGAAAAGCCAGCTATCACATTGGTGGTAATACCCTTTTCCGTGAACTTAACTGAAATTTTAGTTTACTTTTCAAGCTTTTAAACACTTCGGAGTCATTAGCTGGAATTCACAACAGTTCTTTTTTTACCCAAACGATTAGGTGACAGGCTGTCAGCAGTGACAACTGGATAGCCAGCCTATCAGACCCTTTTTACAACTGGGGAACATACTTCCTAAATCTTGATTTGCAGGAAATAGCTCTCTACCTCTGGAGCTACTAGTTCTGCAATTACCTGTCTCTGCCATAGGTCTGTGTACATCCCAAGAATAAAGATTCTGTCTTATACAATTCTGCATCCACAAGATCAATCACCCCTGACAACACAGCTTAGGGTAAAGGGGCAGAGCCAGCTGTACCACTGCACAACCACCTTCCGATGCACAGTACATTGTGTTAAATGAATGAAGGAGTAAGATCAGATCATAGGTCTAAAACATAGTCTCTGTACTCCAGGAGATTAAAATATTATCAGTGAGGTAAGATTACCATACAAATAAATAAACAGCACCATTGGAGAATACAATTATATACTTTGTAGCTGATTAAATATTAAGTATACAGAAGAAATTCGGAGGCAGGAGAGATGACTGTGGGCCTGAGTGATTGAAGAAGGTGGTATGGATGATATGAACTGTAACTAGAACACAGATGACATCCAAGGAAAAAGAAGGAGGATGCACTGGGTGAAGAAATAGCACCAGGGGAGTAAGGAGAAAAGGTGCTGAGAATTCCCATGAGGACTGTAGGAAGACAGAGGGACAGTGAAAAAATAAGGGTGGAGGAATAAAGTTGAATCAAACTTTTTTGGTCAGTTTTGCATTGCTGGGAAAGTACTTGCCGGCTGTGTCTTAAGAGGGGAAAGGTTTAATTTGGCTTACGGTTTCAGAGATTTCAGTCCATTGTTGGCTGGCTACAAGGCAGAAAAACATGGCAGAAGGGCATGGCAAAGGAAAGCTGCTCAACTCATGGCAACTAGGAAGCAGAGAACAGGGGGAGAACTGAGGAAAGATACACCCTTCAAAGGCGCCCCCCAGTGACCAACCAGGGGGTGGGGTCTTCCTTCTCCCACCAGGCCCCAACTCCTAATAACATGTCCAACTATGAGTTCCACTGACCAATCTGTTGATGAGACCACTGCTCCCAATGTGTGAGTCTTTGGGGGGCATTTCAGATTCAAACCACAACACAAACCATGGACGATCATTGAAGGGTGCTACTGAGAAGAGGGACCTCTGAGGCTCATAAGACACGGAAATTATAAACTGGCTGGAAGCTAAATTAGGTAGAACTCTTGAAGACATTGGCATAGGAAAAGACTTCGTGAACAACCTCAGCAGCATGGGAACTAGCACAAAGAATCAACAACTGGGATCTCATCTTATTAAAAAGCTTCTGCACTGTAAGAGAAACCACCAGCAGAGCTAAGAGACAACCTACAATGTGGGAAAAAATTTTTACCAGCTGTTCCTCAGACAAAGGGCTACTCTCTAGAATCTATAAAGAATTGAAAAAAATCAGACCCCCCAAATTCAAAGACCCAATTCAAAAATGGCATCTGAAATGAACAGACATTTCTCAGACAAAGAAGTAAAAGCAGCAAACAAATATATGAAAAAATGTTCAACATCACTGGTCATTCGAGAGATGCAGATGAAAATAACACTGAGATTCCACCTCACCCCAGAAAGAATGGCTGCTATCAAGAAATCAACCAATAACAAATGCTGGCGGGGCTGTGGGGAGAAAGGAACCCTTCTCCATTGTTGGTGGGAGTGCAGACTGGTGCAACCACTGTGGAAATCAGTATGGAGATACCTCAAAGAACTAGGGCTAGAGGTCCCATTTGACCCAGCTATTCCCCTGCTGGGGATCTTCCCCAAAGAATTAAAAGAATCATACCACAGTGATATATGTGCGCCCATGTTTATAGCGGCACAGTTTGTAATAGCTAAAGCTTGGAAACAGCCCAAGTGCCCATCAACTGGAAACTGGATAAAGAAGATGTGGGGTTTTTTATAAAGTGGAGTACTACTCAGCCATAAAGAACGAGAAACTAGAGACATTTATAGCTAAATGGATGCATATTGAGGCCATCCTCTTAAATGAAATAAATAGGACACACTTGTGTAAATACTGAATGGTTTCTCTAGTGTGAGAAACTGAAAGTGTAAATAAGGATTAAAATGATTAAAATGAATAATTGATCATTTGAAATAGGAACAGGTCCAAAGGTATAGGGGTGGTGGGAGGGGTGGGGGAAAGAAAAGAAGGTAAAGGAAAAATTATGAGAAAAGAAAAAAAATGGAAATGAAATCTATATAAATAGGGAAGGTTGGAGGGGGTGAAGGGTGCACAGGTAATGGGGAAAAAGTAAGAACTAAGATACATCGTGTACAGGTACAAGCACCCAATGATAAATGTAAATGTATGTATACCTAAAATGTATCAATAAAAGAATTTTTTAAAAACATAGAAATTATAGAACTAAAGTTAAATATTTAAATTTTTTAAAGATTGGGAAAAGCAAAAGATTGGCCCTTCCTTATATCTCTAGCACTATCAACAATCATTCCTTAAGTCAAATATTGTTATGCTGTGTTGGTAATTCTCTGTACATGTCATGCTATTTCCCATCTCCATGTCATTGCCAGAACTTTCTCCTCTGCCTAGAAGTTTCTCTCTCTCTCTCTCTCTCTCTCTCTCTCTCTCTCTCTCTCTCACACACACACACACACACACACACACACACACACACATTCCCCAACTCTCCTCTATCACTTATCTGTTCAGATTTTGCATAACCACCCATTTGTTAATTCAGTCAATATGTTTCACTATCTATGGGGCATCAAACTAAGTATCTATTTACGAGTGGGGAAACAGCATCAAACTAAGTAGGCAAGATCTCAATCTTCAGAGAACTGACAGTCTCTGTGAACAGCCAACGAAATAAGAAAGTGAATCAGTAAAGAAGGAGTGGGAAGGTTTGCAATAAGTGCCAGAAAAGGAATAAGTAGGAAAAAGCAGACAAAGTCATACAGCTTTGTGGGGAAGGGTTCTGTGGTAAACCACAAATGCTCTAGTGGGTGCTCCTTTTATCTAGGCACATGGCTAGACTCCATTTCTTATCCGGATATGACCATGCTGGCCAGTGGAATGTGAGCAGAAGTGGTGGTTTAGAAATTGGAAGATATAGATATGTTTCCTCCATTCTTCCAGTTGGATGAAAGCAACAATGAAGCCCAAGGGGATGAGTAAGCCACAAATTGGGTCCTTGAATCCCTACATCATGACAGTCACTTGCCAACCAGGAACAGTCACCTGGGACTATTCTATATGTAAAATAAACCTTGTTGTACTTAAGCCATCATACACCTACACCATGGCCTAACCTACCCTAACACAAACAGGCTCCTCAGCTAGGAAGGTCCAGAAAGGTCTCTTCAAGGAGATGGTACTGATGAGAATAAAGATGAGAGGAAACCAAGTCATAACCAGGATAACTGTGGCAGAGTAGATAGCAGGAAAAGGATGCAGCATGTTGGGGGCAGCAGGGGGACCACTGCCAGGGTGGCCAGAGCACAGTGCTGGGGTAAGAGTGAAATTAGATGACCTTAAAGAAGTATATAAGAGCCAGATCATACCCTGCCATCTGCTAGCATCTCCTCCAGGAAGCCACCATCTCGGTCCACACTTTATGATCACTACCAGCTCAGTGTGGTGTGCACTTTGGAGATCCCCTAATAACCAGGGGTCTACATCTGTTACTGCCCTTTCATCGCCTTATAATGATCTGGATATGTGTAGATAAGTACCACTACCTAACAAGCATTTGGACGCAAATAATTCATTCATATTTGGGTCTTCCCCATACCTGTCAATGAGTACATGTTTCTGGTAAATATGGGTGGGAAAAAATGGTGGCACTGCAGGTCTCCATGTGACAATGGCCAGGTCCTGCATAATGAGGGGTCCTGTTATAGAGCCAAGAAGGATTCTGAGAGACAATTCATCTACATAAATAATACTGGAATTTTGATTTTTACCAGTGTGATGTGACCTCCTTTCAGGAAGTCTTTCCCTCCTCCAACCTACCCCTCCTTCAGATTCTTTCTAAGGATGACCCATTTCTAACTAAGATTTCTTCCAGATAACAGGTTGTGGGTTGCCTTCATTAAGGAGGAAAGTTTCTCCTTCAATGAAAATGACTGGAAACTGTGAAAAGACAGTTTGAAGCCAAGGCCCCCTGCCAATACAATGACCCAGTTAGGAACCAAAACAAAGAATAGATAAATCAGGGGAATACTAATCTCCCCATTGCCCCTCCTTCCAACCTCTTACTGCCTGCAGTAGTTTCTGTGAAGTTTTAAACAGGATGAGCTAATTCCATTCCCCAGAATTGGAAAATGTCAACCCCTACCACAAATGTTCTTCCCAGAGAAATAGAGATACAATTTCATTCACTGTAACAATGTGAATTTTGATTCTTCACTCTCAA